CAAAGATGCAATAATATAGGAAATCAGGAAGGGGGCAAATTCACGGCACTGTATAATCATCATATTCACAATATTTATTTAACAAATGAAAAGACTCGACTCTTAAAGCAAATCTTCTAATAGATAACTATTGTTGTCTCTGCACATTGACATCAAATTAACAAAAAAGTAGTTTAGAGTTTCCTATATGAAAATGACTACTTTTTGAGGAAATGCTTCTTTCCTTAGTTTAAGTCCAGGTTCCACCCTTTGCACAAGCTCTTCAACTGTTGCTCACAGAAACACAGGTTGGGAGGAAAGGAGATAGCAGCGTGCAATGCATAACAAATAATGTCCTAAACAAATTTTAGAACACCTCATATCAAAAATGTCTGAACTGCCAGGAGCAGGCACATAAAGAGATTAAATAATTTATCTCCAAATACTAGTATCCAATTTCGATCACTCAAGTCCTTATCTTTTTTATTTTAAACAAAACATCAGACCCCAGTCTACAGGACCCTTTGTTAATTTCTGACCTCCCCTTTACAAAATGTTTCACATAGTCACAGAGTATGACTCACAGCTTTATAGCTGTAGTCAAAAATTTGAACATTGCTAGTTTTCAGAGCTTGTTGCTACCGACAGCGACACCTTTGACCATTTTTTACTGTCCTACAACATGTGACTCTGTAATGTGGTGCTACGTGTACGTATGACATTCTCCATTGTACAGCTATCTATCTCTGTCCATCTGTTCAGAACCAAATGCGTCTTTCCCAGAATGCAATCCATTTTTTAAAAATTCTTCAAGAAAATGAATCCACTCCTCCTACAGTTCCCATGCTGACAGATGACAAGTCAGTACCTTTCTCTTTAGGCAGTGTTAAAAATATCCTTTACACTTGAAAGAGATCATGGACGGAAAGATGGCTCCACATCACAACAAAAAAGTCTGATGTGTTCATTGCCTTTATGTATCTTAAGTGTGAAGTTTACAGATGATACTCCAGATGTAACATTGATTACTAAAGTAAATATGTTGGATGTTGGAAAAATATGACAGGTTGTGGGCTGACTGATCTAAGCAGTGAAGGACTGTATTCAAGAGGCAGTTTGGACCCATTTCTATTTGGACTGCACAGACAACAGGGTGTAGAACTACATATCAAAATAATAAATGTGCCAGATCTGAACTTATAAACTAGAGGTATTTCTCAGTAATGTTTCACCATATCAGAAAAGTGATTAATTTAAAGAAATACCCATTACCATACTTTGACATTATAGTTATTTAAGTGTACAATTCCTAGCTGTACCATTATCAGTCCAAATCTGAAAGCCTATTATCATGGACAATATAGGGCTTTGGACAAGGCCTAACAAAGAAGAGAAATTATAGAAAGTTATGAAATTACGTTTTGAAAACAATGCAGCTATGAAACAAAAGGACACCTTTAAAAGGACTGCCTTCTAAATATATAAATTATGAAGCTCCACACAGTTTTGTATGACCATAGGGTTTTCTTAAATATTTTTATAAGCATTTACAAAACTAAAAATGTAAAAATGTTACAAATGTGATTATATATAAATGGTCCCCATAACATCAATTAGATTCTATTTTGGTGTCACTTCAGTATTGTCTTCTTCTATACGCATCACTCAATTTAGTGCCAACATTTGTTGTAGTTTGTTGACCTCTAGAGGAACTACATGGTAATACAAGATCGAAAAGAATATTCTAACTGTCACACCATAATCTTTCGGTTTACTTTGACACTACACAATTTAAACAAGGTCTGTTAGAGACAGTAACCATGAACAAAAATGCCACAGATAACGCATAAAACAGAATACACACTGTGTGACACCAAAACACAAAATAACTTGATTTTGAATTACCTCATTCTGAATGGATTTAACGCATTCAAACAAATAAAACATACTTCATGAAACTGAATATTACATGATCTAGAGGCATTCAGATCTTAACCGAAAGAATGTAAACCTATTAAAGAAACAACACCTCAGGAATCAGAAATATGTTTCACATTTTTTTTATAACCCAATTTCTTACACTCCTGTCCCCGCTACCTCATCCCGGTGTTCCACCAACTATGAACCTGCTGTTTAACAACAGCTTGTTTTTCCTGTGGACTAAAGTGCAATATCGTCAGAATGGCAGTAAGTGTCTGCTGTCGGCCACGGGAGTCCTGCAAAGTTAAGAACCGGTATATGATATTTTTCAGATACTCCAGGTTGGCCCCTTCCCGGCTCTGGTCTCTTGTGTATTTCTCAATCTGCTCTCGGAGCGCAGCCACCTCCTCGCTGTGGCGCTCCTCTTTGGTGAGGAGCGTGTCCTGCAGCTGATGAATCTCTCCCTCCAGGCGATGTTTCTGCTTCCGCAGTGCGCTGATCTCGACTTCTTTACGGGCCAACTGCTCGGCATAGAGAAGAAGAGTAGGCTCAGTGGGTCCTGCCATTTTAAGAGCCTGGGCAATCACATCTTGAGTAGAATCATCTTCAGTGTCACCAGCATTGTTGATTTCCGTTTCTGTTGGGTTATTGTCACTGTACTTTTTGTGTCCTCCTAAACCGTACCCCAGAGACATAGACCGAAACCTCTCCAACTCTTGATCCTTTTCTGTCAAGAGGGCAAGGGTACGGTCTCTTTGCTTATGTAGTTCCTCTTCTAACTTGAGAAATCTCTCACGGTACTCAGCTTCCAACCTCTCCAGCTCCTGTTTGTGGCTTTGTTGGAGACTACAAATGTACTGCTGCCTAGACTCTAGCTCTTGTTTGTGCTTGTTCTCCATTTCGTCACAAGAAAGACGGAGAGAAATATACTTTTCCTTGAGCTCAGACAGCTGGTCGCGCACCTCCTCCAACTCCTTCGCCAGATTCCCATCCTTTACCGTCTTATTTTTTAGTACAACCTGCGCTCTCATCTTGTACCGCTCAAACTCGTCCTTCAGCTGCTTCAGCTCCTGCTGATAATAAACAACAGAAGCCTTTTCTCCGTCGGAATGCTCACTGTTAATGGCAGTCTCCGCATCACACAGTGTCTCGATTTCTAACGGCTGCGGTGATTTCTGGGTAGCCAAGAGCAGCAGTTTTCGCACCTTCACCATTTTTTCCTTCAGCACATTCACATCTAAGTTTGTCTCATCAATAGTAAGGTCTACTGATGTCCTAGCAGAGGCAGCAAAAGCCAAAGTCTTGTTTTCCATATCCAGCTGCATTATGCGGTCCTTGAGCTTCTGAAGCATTAACTGGTCCTTCTGCTTGGCTTTCTCGTATGTCCCTAGGAGCTCAGACAGCTCAGAGACTCGTTCTTCAAGGCTGGCCAAACGGTTTTCTTCAAGCTGGGACTGCTCTCGGAGCCGTTCCTCTGCTTGACCTGCCTGTGCACACCGAAACAGAACGAACAATTAAGGAGTGGTTGGCGACTGGTATAGCTAATTAGCTCTCTACCTTTATAATACACTTTTGAACATTTCACGAGTTAAGAAAATGTGAACATTTTAGCACCGAGATTTTATAAAAATGAGGAGGATCCTAAAATGTTTTTATGCATCCAATTTGGACATGCTAATTATTTTCTGAAATTAACTTAGCACCAACATAGCACCTACAAGGCCAGTACCACTTGGAGATACAGTGCAGTCCATAAGTATTTGGACAGTGACAAAATTTTTGTTGTTTTGGCTCTTTACTCTAGCACATTGAATTTCAAATTAAACAATGATTCTAAAGTTAAAGTGCAGAATGTCAGCTTCAATTCGAGGGTATTTATGTCTATATTGGGTGAACCATATAGGAATCACAGCCCTTTTTATACATAGTCCTCCCATTTTAGGGGACCAAAAGTAATTGGACAATTGGCTACTCAGCTGTTTCTTGGCCAGCTGTGTGTTGTTGCATCGTTAGTTCATGCACTAGAGAGCTAACAAAAGGTCTAGAGTTGATTCTAGATGTGGCATTTGCATCTGGAGTCTGTTGCTGTTGTCTCTCAACATGAGGACCAAAGAACTGTCAATGCCAGTAAAGCGGGCCATCAAAAATCAGAATAAATCAATCAGGGCCAAAACATAAGGTGTGTCAAAATCAATTGTTTGGTACATTGTTAAGAAGCAAGAACACTCTGGTGAGCTTAGCAATAGCAAACGACCTGGAAGACCACAGGAGAACACAGTAGTGGATGACCGAAGAATACTTTCAATCGTGAAGAAAAACCCCTTTTCAATTGTTGAAAAGATCAGAAACACTGTCCAGGATGTAGGCATAGATGTGTCAAAGACTACCATAAAGAGAAGAATACACCAGCATAATCTCAGAGGGTTCACCACAAGACACAAACCACTGGTACGCCTCAAGAACAGAAAGGGCAGGTTACAGTTTGCTAAAAAGTACATAAAAAGCCTGTAGAGTTCTGGGACAGATGAGATGAAGATTAACCTGTACCAGAGTGATGGAAAGAGCAAAGTGTGGAGAAAAAAAGGAACTGCTCCTGATCAAAAGCATACCACCTCATCTGTGAAACATGGTGGAGGTAGTGTCATGGCTTGGGCATGTATGGCTGCCTATGGAACTGGCTCACTTGTCTTTATTGATGATGTGACTGCAGATGGCAGCACCAGGATGAATTCTGAAGTGGACATAAGCATCTTCTCTGCTCAGATCCAATTAAATGCCTTTTAAACACATAGGACGGTTCTTCACCTTGCAGCAAGACAATAATAATAATAATAATAAAAAACTATTTTATATAGCGCCTTTAAAGGTGGCTTTTCAAAGCGCTTAACAGGATAACAATAACAATAAATAAGAAGGATACCCAAGATAAAACACAATTACAAAATATAGAGGAGACCGTGGATGGTGGGACTAAGAAGAGCAGAGGGGTGAAGAATGGAACCAGTTAAGAAAAGGCTTTTCTGAAGCAGAGGGTTTTGAGTCTGGATTTGAAGGAGTTTAGAGAAGGTGACTCTCTGATATCCTTGGGGAGAGAGTTCCAGAGCTTGGGGGCATAACAGGAGAAGGCCCTGTCACCCATACAATGTAGACAGGCTTGGGGGACAGTAAGGAGAGCAGAATTAGAAGAGCGAAGGTTGTGAGGTGGAGAGTAGGGCGATAATAGTTCAGACAGGTACTGAGGTGCCAAGCCATGCAGAGCCTTAACCCCAAACATACTGCTAAAGCAACTGTGGAGTTTTTCAGGGCCAAAAAGTGGAACTTTCTTGGCCAGGTCAATCACCCGACTTGAATCCCACTGAGCATGCACTTCACTTACTGAAGACAAGACTGAAGCTAAAAAGCCGCCGAAATAAGCAGGACCTGAAAATGGCTGCATTACAGGCCTGGCAGAGCATCACCAGGGAAGATACCCAGCGTCTGGTGATGTCTATGGGTCGCAGACTTCAGGCAGTCATCAACTGCAAAGGATTTGCTACCAAGTACTAAACATGACTATTTTATTTAAGATTATGTTAATGTGTCCAATTACTATTGGTCCCCTGAAATGGGGGGACTATGTGTAAAAAGGGCTGTGTATATCGTTCACCCAATATAGACATAAATACCCTCGAATTAACCTTGACATTCTGCACTTTAACCTCATGGATATTGTTTTATTTCAAATCCAATGTGCTAGAATACAGAGCCAAAACAAATACACTGTCCAAATACTTACAGGCTGCACTGTATGCGCGTGCACACCTGCCACACTGTCAATCATTTAACACTCAGCGAGCTCCACTGTGCCTCACAGGAGAGATAGCAGTGTCAGGAGCAATGGTGCGTCTCTCACAGAAACCACCGCAGGCTCGCGAGCACCTGGTCGATTCTAAGGCTTGCTGTTGTGCAGCAGGCAGGGGAAATCAATTTCAGCAGTGCTCAGCTGATTCTGTGCTGCCTTTTGGGGAACCTATGAAATCTCATCTACGTTCGAACTTGTGACTCCTGGATTGCAATACTCAGCCTCCACTCTCTTCAAGCTTCTTTGCTGAATGAACTACTCACAAGAGCTAAAGAACATACCGTATGAAAGAGAACCAAAATTACCTTTCTCATCTCCTGTTGGATTTGTAGCTGGAAGTGCGCTTTGAGATCTTCAATCTCCTGCTGTAGTTCTCCCACGCGGGGGTCGGCTTTGCACTTCTCTCTCTCGGCCTCCTCGAGAGTTTTCCTCATTTCCTCCAGCTCCGTGGAAAGCACCCTAACCTGGGCTTCGTAGTCTCCCACGCGGTCAGCGGTTGTCATTTTCTCTACCAGAGCTTCTCTGGTCTCCTCCAGCTTAAGCTCTACATCTTGCCTGGCGGCCCGCTCCTCCTGCAGCAGCTTCTGGAGCTCACGGAGCATCAGCGCGTGGTCTCCTTGCTCCTGTGCCCGCTCGTGCTGCTGGGTGATGACCCGGGCTTTGGCCTCCGCGAGCTGCTCCTGCAGGCTTCTCACTTCCGCTTCATGATGACTCCTCTCCTCCTCCAGGCTTTTGCACAGATCCTCGAGGTCCTGCTTCACCTTCTTCTTGTCCGCCTGGAAGGAGGCCTCCATCCTTGACTTCTCCTGCGTCACAGTGGCCAAGGAGCTGGTCAGGGTGGACAGCTGGGCTTTCAGCTGCAGGACTCTCCTGTCAGCCTCCCCAGCCACCTGCTGCTCCCCACTGCTGGAGCTGACGCCACTCTCCGAGCCATTATTGTCTTCAGCCCTTTGCAAAGCGGACACAGCCGGCCCGTGCTCACCAAGGCTCTTTTCTTCTTCGGTCGCCTCTCCCTTGGTGCTGCTGCTGGCCACGCTGTTAGCGGTGTCCACACTGGCCGCTGTGTCCGCGCTGTCTTCGCTGTGCAACGAACACTTGTCGTCTCCAAGGTCCGAAGAACGCCGCTCCAGGCCAGAGGCCCCAGAAGGCGTTGCATTCGAATAGCTCAAGTCAGCTTCCTGGGATACAGTCAGAACTTTCAAGCTTGCCTCCAAAGCTTCCTTTTCCTTCAGAAGGCTTTTGTAAGCCCTGACAACGTCTTTAAAACGGGTCTGGTACTGAACCAGCTGTTTTTTCAGACTTTCTATAGTTTCCAGCAGCTCCTTCTTACTGGGGCCACCCCCAAAATTCATTCCAAACTTCTCCATGTTTGCTGGTTTCAGCTAAACAATCATACACGTCATGTCCCGAGGCACTATGAAATAAAAAGAAAAATGAATCAGACAAAAACTTAACATGAAATTTGAAATCCCCGTAACAATTAAGTAAAAAAATAAACGTGAAACAAATACACGCACAAAGACGGTGGGGATGATCATTTCGCATATGCAATAAAACACAGCAAACCACCGTATAAAACCGAGCATTTGTAATTCAATTCTCGCAACAAAGGAGAACTAGATATGCATAGAAACGAGTTCAGATGTCGTTCTTTCACTTCAAACTGTAATGTGCTAACCAAGAGAATCTCCGATTTAAAAACTGAAGGAAAAAGCAGTGCACTGAAAAAAAACTGAAGGAAAAAGCATTCTGAGTGGCTAAAAAGACCAGTTCTACTCAAAATAAGAGTTAATAAAATTATGCAAGCAAACCTCTACTCAAGAATATCTAATTTAAGATGTAATTCTCAACTTTAGTTTCCATCTTTCAGCAACGGCTGCCATAAAGTTAATAATTCCATTATGAATAAATAATAAAAAATAAAAACAAAGTGCAATGTTGTGATATCTGGAATTTTCCTGGAGGCCTAACAAAGCTGACAGTCACATGGAGAAATGTCTCGAATACAGAACATCTACTAACTCTACATTTCGTATTTTGAACTAATGAAAAAGCTGCAAACGTACTTGTTTTTTTCTCTCTGTCCTCGATTAGTCGTTTAAGCTTGCTATCTTGTACACAGCTTACGTGTCCGTAACTCGTACTTCCTGGAAAGGGTCCTTTTAGTAACGGCTGAGTTTTCATGTATATTGGATTTGTTAAGCAATAAAGTTTTTACAACAAATTTATGGGGGCCATCTTAGTAAGGTCGGAAATAATTAGTCTGTGAAAAATTGAAGCATTCAGAGAAGAGTTTTATTATTTTGTATGCTTGTCTCTTTACTTTATATTTGTTTCAGAATAAACAAACAAAATTACGACGTATCGTAAAATAATTGTTGCTCCCCACCGGGTTGATCTCCTGGCTGTTTTTTTTAACTAACAACCTGAGATATCTAGACAATAGACGAGATAAATGTATGTTCAAATTGAATTAGCAGAACAAACGAAAAACGCGGGGTCTTATTTTAAAGATCTTATTATAATGCTTTAGTGCAGCGATCATTAGTTGTAAATACCTTTTACAGGGTGTTGATATTGTAACGCATACGGCGGACCCTGCAGGTTGTTCGAGGTACAATATTAACGAAAATATTAAAATATAGTGTCCTGCCCGGGGCATGCTCCTGTATGTGCCTTATGCTTCTCGGACAGGACACCGGGTTATTCTGGCCATTGCCAGGAATAAGCGGCTTTGTGTTCATGGACGGATAAAATGTGACATGTCATTTCCATTTTAGCAGATTACGTCTGTACTTGCAAAGGTAATGCATGTGTTATGCTGCATACATCTACCAAACATTCCAAAATAAAGCATACAAAGACGGGCACATTTTTCTGAGCGTTGCTCACAGAATCGTTTGGGGGCAGATTGGGTTTATTACAGCAGATTTGGAAATGAGACACCCTATGATTGCTAATAAAGTTTCATGAAAGCGGTGACGTAATTTCTTCCGCGTTGGCCTGGACGTGGCACCTGCATCAGAGGAGGAGGCAGTAGAGAGACTCCCATTTTCTATAGGGGCTGTTTAAACGATTTCTGTTTCTAACTGTAGACATCACTCGAAGTGTTAAAGGGGGGGTACTCTCGCACAACATGGGCCTCACTATCTCGTCGCTTTTCTCCAAGCTTTTTGGCAAGAAACAAATGAGGATACTTATGGGTAAGCATTGACAATACGGAGGCAGAGGGAGGGTATTGTTAGAGCTGCCCCAGAGACGAGGAGGAAAAGATGGGGCCTCTGTGGTTACATTCTGTACAGAGCGACAAAGGGGACGGCACGATTTGTTAATAACAGTACCGAATAAGTCACGATAACACTACGAGAGGTATTTAATTCTATTGCTGCTCATTGAGGTTGAAAGAGTTGAGATAACAATAGTGATGGATATCGAAATGCCTATTCCTTTTCTCCATTTCGTTTAGCAAGGTTTTTTGTGAAATAATGCAGTTAGGAAATGCCTTTCCTGCATTATGCAAGAAATCCGGTGTCCGTGCGTTTTAAATGTAGTTACTGCACGTTTTAGAAAATGGTAACGTTTTGTTTTTAGGAAGTTACCTATACTGGAACTGGTTATGGACTGTTAGGAATTATAACTCGAAGGCGAAAACATAAACATTATTTTCTTCCATTTCTTGTTTATTCTGAATATGAGTCCTCTATTTAGGCCTTCAGTGTTGTGTCCGTCTTTTTTTAGGATGTAAAAGGAACACTTAGTGATGCAACATTGGCAAAGATACTGTATAGCACCAAAGTGAGCTATCCATGGTCTTGTCATACCGTCGCCAGTTATAAATCTGAGATTATTATTTAGAATTATTTAGTATTTAGAATTTTCATTATATGTAATATTGTATGTTGCTGTGTGATTAAAACATCATATAAGTAGGCAGAACATTTTTTTTCTTTTGTAGGTAAAAGTGTTGAGTGTCATCGCACTGTAGTACAAACTCACCTTGAGGAAAAGCTAGTGCTCCAAATATGGAGGAGTGGTACACAATTCAGAACAATTCAGAACAATAGCCATAAGCATGGATTTGCCTTTTAAGTAAATAAGTGTACCCAAACCACGCTAGGAAAATGTTCCCTACATATTACGGAACCCCCAGCACCCTTCATCGTTGAAACTAAGTCTTTTGGGCTTTAGGTGCACTCAAGCATTTGTCAGGAACATGGTGAAAGATGTTTAATCTGACTGAATCACATTTCTCTACTGCTCAGTATTCCATTGCTTGTGCACTTTGCACCACTGGGCTCTAAAACATGTACTGCCCAATGTGATGAGTGCTTTGTGCACTTCAGACCAACAGTGGTATCCCACTCTGCGGAGTTCTCTGCGGATTGTTTCGGATCAAACTGGCAGCTTGTGCCGCAGGCTGAAATATGCAGTTGCTCGCTTGTCTTGCCCTGCTCTTCGAATTAATGCACGGCTGTCATGACCCTGGCGTGTGCACTTGTGTCCACTGTTCACCATTGGTGATGACATCTTGCTGTCATTGCACACTGATGCTGTTGCTCGTGAAATCTCAGAAGGATGGGCTGTCTTGATCACTGAGGCTCCAGTCAAACAAGAACAAACAACTGGAACCTCAACTGTCACTCCTACTTCAAAGTTTAAATTGAATGTTTTCATTTTTGTGCAAAAACGTGCACTACTTTTCACGGCTCTTCCATTTCTCCTGTGTTTACTTCATGTTTTTCTTACCAATACCAAACTAGATGAAACAATGTCTCTTCTGAATGTTTTTCTCTGCTTTAAGAATGCACAGCATCAGACATTTTAAACTGTTGCAAACCTCAACAAGTACTGTAAATGCTAATGAAAAAGTTAAAAGTTAAAAAATAAATGTCAGAATGTGTCGTGTTAAATGTATTGTAGTTTAACCCCTACTTTGCATTGTTTATATCAAAGTTTTGGTGCCTTTTGTTGGATCTTTCAGGTTCCTTTAAGTGGTTATGCCTAGACAGTCAGAAATACTTCACTAATGATCTGTAGAACTGTACAACAGAATAAAAGGCCTCCTTAGAAAGAACTTCAGCAGGATAGAGCATGTCCATCCACCAATATGGGAATTAAGCAACATGAGCTAAAAAAAATGAAGAAAATGGAAATACGTGGGATTTAAGTGTCCAGTCAAAAATCATTTGAGTTCATAGTTCAATCTAATGCTTTTTGTTTGACCAGTTTGTAAAATAGATTTCTGTTTTTGGGGTTGCTTTTCTCTTGAGGTGCTATTCAGTAGCTTAAGATAAAGTACACCAAGAGTTGGTGAGGGGGGCCGTGATGGCAGCTTTTGATTATCTTCCTATAATGGTGTAGAAATGAAGTTAAGTAAGAGTTTTTCACCTTGAAGCGGTATGGAAATTAACTGGTTCCGTCTGCAACTTCATGGCAAGGATAATACTGTATTTCTGACTCCAAAACACGTTGCATCAGATTCTGAAGATTCCCTATTGTGTTTATTTGCCAGTGTGCAAATACGTAGTGTTGACACTCATGGCCTGATGTCCACCTGCTGCAGCAATACTCAACTTCAACTCATCTCCCTTTTTTAATGCAATAATCTCAGTATGGTAAGAATTTAAGAAATGTTACCAATGAAAGGAGGCCATTTGACCCATCTAACGACGTTTGTAGTTTGTAGCTAATTGCTCCATAGATGGGTAACAGTGTTCAGCATTACTGCCTCGCAGGACTGGGGTCCTGGGCTCAGTTCAAGACCTGGGTTGCTATCTGTGTGGAGTTTGTATGTTCTCCCCATATTCACGTAGGTTTTTGCTGGGTACTCCAGTTTCCTCCCACAGTTCAAAGACACGCTGAAGGTAAACGGATGTGTGAGAAAATGAGCCAGATGAAAATTGTGGAAAAAAATCATTCTCAAATCAAGGCGAGATCCAGTCGTTTCTGCTGAAGGGTTCATCTCCCAACATTTTGTGTTTTGTGACGCTGGCCAAGATGTACTTAAAATTTTGGTGTTCATCTGTTTAAAAAAACAGATGGACACCAACAATAAACAATAAAAAAAGGATCACATTTACTGTTAAGATATTTCAGTTATTTTTCCTAAAATATATTCAGATTTGTTTCCCTGTCACTGAATGTCTTCCTGTCGTTTGAAGAAATATGTGAGGCACTAGTTCCTGTGCTGTTGTGTCTCAGTAATTTGTCTGGTGTTTCAGCTTTCTTCACTATCCAGTTTTGCAATGAGCATGTCTGCGCGCTCCTATAGATTAGACAAATTAAATTGGGATGACATGGACATGGAACTGAAATTAAGAGGATTGGATTGTGCACATTTAATGAGCTGCTATTTTAAGATTTTTTTTGTTTTCTTTTGCTTTCATTCTAAAGTGTGTGTTTTTATGTGAAAGTCATTGCACCATGTCTTTATTGGAAGTGTTGCAACACTAAATCTGCATATGGTAAGACTTCCCCAATTTCTTTAAAACAGCTGATGTTGATTTGCAGACACATCTTGAAATTGGGGTCCGGTTTTCTTCTTTTGTAATGTTATCATTGAAATTGAAGTGTGAACTTTGCAACTTTTTTTTCTGCACTGTTCCTGAGGGTTACATCTTGTAATGCAGTGATTCTCAATCTTGGTCTTGGAGCTCCCTGTCCTTTCTGGTTCTGCTCCAGCTGTTTTGTCAGAAACCGATCAATTCATTTCAATTTGAGCCCTAGTTTTAAACATGTTTTCAGCTTTCCACCTTCATTTTGTAAAGTTGCATGCATTTTGAAAATGGAATCACCCTTGTCCATCTATCCATCCATTTTCTAACCCCTTTATCCAATTCAGGGCTGTCGGGGAGCTGAAGCCTATCCTGGCAAGCAATAGGCACAAGGCAGGCTACACTCTAGACAATACTCTAGTCCACTGGTGGGGGGGCACACTCAAACCAAAGCCAGTTTTCCCCAGAAGCCAATTAACCTACCAGTTTGTCTTTGGACTACGTGAAGAAACTGAAGAGCTTAGAGGGAACCCACAGGAACACAGGGAGAACATACAGACTCCATGCTGAAAGCACCCCAGGAATTAAACCCATGGTCGCAGCGCACTGTGAGGCAGCAATGGTAGCTACTCCACCGAGCTACCCAACCTTCCATTTACACCCCTTTAATTACTGAGTTTCTTAGCTTCCCTTATTCAGGTGTGGGACCTGAACTGTGTCCAACTGTACACATTGAATCAAGTCAATCCCACAGTGTTTACTTTTCATCATGCTTGTCATTCCCAGCTATTCATCATAAGTAGCTAAGAGCTTTGTGGTGAGTAATAAGGCACTAAGTATAAAAGAATCAGTTCCTAACCCCAAGGGGCACCAGGGGTTAAGGGCCTGACTGTAACAGAAAACAGCATACAGGCCCGTCAAGACCAGGATTGAGAGCCACTGGTTTAACTTGTTTTCATACATTCTTTAAGCATTTGACAGCACATCTTATTTATAATTTTGTCAATTAATTTGTGCTGCTTTAATGTTTTTTTTGCAGTTGGTCTGGATGCAGCTGGGAAAACCACTATTTTATACAAACTGAAGCTGGGAGAAATCGTTACTACCATTCCAACCATTGGTAAGGCCTTTGCTTAAAATGTCTAAATGCCAAAATATTTGACGTGAAGTTCTTTTGGATTTAGGGCAGTTATGTTATGGATATGAAAACATATCCTAAAATTATGCTAAATGACCAAGTCTTTAATATTCTTGTCAGATACTTTTAATCTTTATGCACACACTCAATGACTTGAAATGTATATAAATGCAGAAGTTATTGTATGTGCAAATTCGTTAGCCACATCTTTGCATATGTTAGACAGCTGGACAACACGTGTCACTTCAAAAATGGGCTTGTTTTACAGTTTGTGTGTCTTTAGCAGCAATACTTCGGAAGAAAAGGTCATGTCATTCTATAATAGTACAAATCTAGGGAAGGACTGTTTTAGAACAATTAAGAAGCCTCTGTGAGCTGCTGGGCTGAAACAATTTGCCTGTTTTGTTACGTGCTATTCTGCCCTATGTGGATATATTTTACATTTTCCATGCACGACTGGTATGGCAAATAGTTCATCTTTTCCTCTTATAACCCGGTAGGGGATTGAACTCTCATCCACCTCTTCTCTTTGGACTGGAATCTGGTCTTATTGAGCCTGATAACTACCCGTCAAGGGATTGTGAATTGTGTAATACAAGAAACGCAATAATGAAAATCATCTTGGTCTGTGAATCATTGTGTGGGTGTGTCCTTTTATTTGCTGATCTGCTCCAGAGCAGCACTGGTTTGTCCACTCCTTCCTGTTTTAGGACAACCATTATTCGCGTCCATTTCTTGTCAAACAATACCTCGGATAACAGCTTGTTCAGTGACGAAGTACTCTTTCAAGTGAAGATTACAAGGTTTTGTCCCCACAAAAAGAAGTGTGCATGCTCGGCAGAATACCAGTTCGTCACAGTTTTATGTTTTAAAGTTCTGGCTCATAGGAGCCAAAGCTTTGTGCTAGATTAGTACACTTTGTTCTCAGTAAAAGCATTTGATGGTTCACACTCATCTCTCTAGTTAATAATAATTAATTATTGCTTACACTTTTCTGGACACTACACTCAAAGAGCTTTACAGGTATTGGGGACTCCCCTCCACCACCACCAATGTGCAGCATCCACCTGGATGATGCAACAGCGGCCATAGTGCACCAGAACACTCACCACACATCAGCTATCAGTGGGGAGCAGAGCAGAGTAATTAAGCCAATTCATAGATGGGGATTATTAGGAGGCCATGATTGGTAAGGGCCAATGGGAAATTTGGCCAGGATGCTGGGGTTACACACCTAGTTTTCATGTTTTTTTCAGAGTGGTTTAAAACAATATAATACTACTTATTAATGTACAATTATTTACATTTGGGACTCTCCTTGTAGTACACAATTCTTCCAATTTATTTAATTCCACTTGGCTGCAACTCACAGTTTTACAGTTTTTGTCGAACATGAACGTGGCTACATGCAGGGATATTGGGTGAAGTGAAACCTGTAATATCTAGGCGAACCTCTATTACAGAGAAAGTGTGCTGGTTGTTTCCACAGCTGATCAGGTGAGATCAGACTGCAACAGTGTTCTAGAATATTCTGTTCTTGATTTGTTGGACCGGCTTCCTACGGTCTCAACTGTAAGAAAAAAACTCTTCAAACCATGTCCATTTTAAGTACTCTGCATCTTTCAATTAAGGGCCAAGTACATACAGAAAAGCACCTTCAAAATATAAAAAGCATGTGAGACCCAAAGAGTACGTTTCAATGGTAACCGCATCAGTGTGCTGTGATTATTTTATTAACTGTTTTGAAACTACTTTTTACTGCCATTAGGAGAAAAATTCTCTTAAAAACAAGCACAGTGGTTTATTTTTTTAAGTTTTCTGCTGATTTATTCATTGTTTTAAAAAAGTGCTTTGATTTTTCCAGGTTTTAATGTGGAAACAGTGGAATACAAGAACATCTGTTTCACAGTATGGGATGTGGGTGGCCAGGACAAAATCCGCCCCTTGTGGAGACATTACTTCCAGAACACGCAGGTATAGCACTGACACAGTGTGAAAAGCCAGGCTGCTTCTCTGCTTCACTGCTGGCAGGCGAAGCAGTCTCTGGTCTCCCCCTTTAACACCCTTGGTCCCTCATTTTGGGGACAAATGTGTGTATTTAGGGCATCCTAGGGCATTTAACAGGTGCTGATGGTGCCTTGTGCAGATAGATATAGAACTGGCTATATTACATGCCACAGTGATCTTGTTGGGAGTATTGTCTTTTCTGGATGTTATAAGCCCCACTGGAATCTGCACATCTGTGAACATTCTTGTTTTTCATCTTAATCTTTTAATAGCATTTAAATTAGATGCTACAAAATATAAGCAACCCATCTTGAAGCTGCTATGGAAATTCAATCGGATAAGCACAATGTAGAGTAATAGGTCAAGTCCATTTTACTATATTGTTGCTTGTTGGGTACACTTAAAGAGGTTTTAATGATAAGAAAAATGGAAGTGGAAAGTACCTGAGAATTCCTTTTTCAATTGTTACTTCTTTTTGGGATTTTATCCAAAAAAATTACATTTGTACCTTTTTACATTTTAGAGCCATTTGATTGAAGGACTCTGCTCAGGGGTGTAACCTCAGGCTCCATCTGGGATGTGAAACCACTCCCTTCCAGTGCAGTCTGTAGTCCTGTTAAATAAAATAGTGCCTATTTATGTGTCTTAAGATTGTAAAAACAAAGTTCAGAGAATTAAGATGAAACTCTAAATTTGCTCCGGTAAGGCCTCATGTGGAACATTGTATTTAGGATTGGTCACTGTTACTTCTATTACACAGAGAACAGCAGACAATTTGTTGCTGCAGGGCTTGAGTTGTGGTGATGCCTTAAAAGAACTAGACTTTTTTTAGTGTCAGCAGGAAATGATGAGAGAGACTTTTCTTTTTTTATCATGTTTATTGAAAAGTATAGATATCAGAAGCAGCAGTTATTCTGGGAATCTCTTAAATAAGGATCTGATATAAGGAGGTGTCTGTTTTTTATAAATAGGAAATACATGTACAGTAGTGGTTAATGTGAAGTCATTGCTTTAAGTCTAGACACCTTGATCCTTTCAAGAATTATTCACATGAGTTAGGATCACTTAGCACCAAAATGAATGCTGATTGTTCGAATGGCCTTTCCAAGTGTTAACAAGACTAGAACAAGGAACTTATAGGTAATAATGACTGAAAATCAAACACACATTTTCATTCTATTATAAGAAAATAAAATATATGGATTTTAATATTAGATTAAATCTCTTTGGCATCATTCTTTTTGATCACAGCATGTCATGGTAGGTGACGGGTAACTAACTTATGCTTAAAGCACTAAATCACCCCCAAGTGAGAGAACTGGGACCCCATTCCCATTGAACATTTGTGGGATAATCTGAAATGAATTGTGACATCTAGGGCACTGAGAACAGTGTCCTGGCTCTACAAGAGGAATGAGATCAAACCCAATATGATATTGATAAAGACATGCTGCAGATGTTCATCTTGTCTTGTTTCCAATGGTGGCCCCACAAGTTACCAGCCTGCTGTGGCTTTCAGAGTAGATAAAGATCTGCATTTTCTGTATCTGTACAGTACCTTGTCTCATGTCTGTTCAATATAGTTTGTACTTTCCTTGATTTTCTTTTGATGATCAGTGTATTTATGCATGATATTTGGAGATCTGTTTTGCAAATGTTTTAAAATTCCTCTAATTTTGCACATTTTTGCTGAGATCTCTGTGCAGGACAAAATCTAAAAAAGGACTAATTTTATTTAAAAAAGGGAACGAAACAGATCTGCAAACAGACCTTATGATTCTTTGTCTTCATTCTCTCTTTATCATCACATTTATATTGGCCGTGGCTTTCTCCTGTCTGATCCCTTGTAGGATATAAGACCCATCTAGAGCCCAGCTTTCTCTGGGGCTAAAAACCAGAGATCTAAAGCAAAAGAGATCTTAAACTTCCCAGACATGGCCTAGTTTTAATTTTTTTTTTAAGTCAGCAGAATATAAATGCAGAGCTGCAGTCAGTAAAGGCACTTTTGTGGAATGACTTGAATGTAAATGCCTTTTTTTCCTGACCATACAAGATTTTCAAATTAATTATATCAATATTAAAAAGGAAATACGAATTCAAAGCCTGCAGTGCAATGGTACACCCTCTTGGTCTAAAAAAATAATATTGCTTAATTGCAAAGTAACAGGACTTAGTGCTTCTAAAAACCACAATTTGTGGGGAATTCTAGTAGTAATGAAGCCCATTGTGCTGAGGTTTGCTGGCTTTTCTAACTGGGGAATGGTGTAGTTTTAAAGGCAACAATGTCTCCTTATACAGCATTGAAATTGATAACTTGAGACTTGTGTGTTCAAAGAGGATAAAATGCCACAAAACTAATTTTCCCCGTCTGCTTCAATGTCTTTTATCTCTCGCAACATGATTTATCAGAGCAATGTTTATTCCTTTGACAGAGTCTTGGAGAATAGTTGCTTTGCAAGTGCTGAATGAACTGAGTATATTAGGATAAGATTATTTATTCTAGTCAATTATATTAAATGAATACAAGCTCCAAAAACAGCACATGGACTTGACCGGCCCGAAACCAGCGCACTGTGGCTATTCTTTGAAGCATAAAGACATTTAAAAAATGTTAAAGCAGAAAATCAACCTGATACTACATCAATGATATTGCCTATGACTTTAGAGACAATGGTTAAACTGCCAACTAGTGTCAACATTTGCAGTTCTTGGGAGCTTCATAGCAAGAAAGGAGCTGAGGTGTTAGCTGAGTGGAAGTGGATCTGAGACATTAATCAACAGAATCCATCGGTTTATCTTGGTTAATTAATTAGGGTCTGTATATATGATTAAGAGTGATCAGTAGTCGAGGAACAGTTGATAAAAAAGGAACAACATGGGACATACAGAAAGATACAAGGAGAGAGAAGAAAGTGTGTGCCAGGCGAGAGGCACTTGCTCAGGTCAGCCATCTAGACCACATCAAACCAGATTCTAGTTGAGTATTTGAACTTTATGGGAGCTTTCCATTCTAGTGTTTTTGGGAACCTTCATAGATAATCCTTAGGTAAAAAATGGTATCTCCTGGTTAGTGGATGAATCTTTAGAATGGGCAGACAGGTTTCCCATTCACTTTGTAGCATCCAGATTTATAGAGAGAGATTTAACTGTCATATTCTCTTTAGTTTAGAAGGCAGGTTTCTCTCTCTCTAGTTGGCCTCTAGGTGTTATGTTCTTATGTTATGAATACTTGGTTGCATTGTGGGTTTTTTGTGTTTGGTCAGGAGTCAGGCCCCTGAGCCACCTTGTGTGTGTAAATAGAGCAATGTGTTGCAACGTATGTTGTGTTGTTTAGTGTGTATCAATGTCATTGTTAATAAATCTGTTTAACACAGTGTGCCTGATTAATTACTCTTTTCACAAAAGCTGTGCCAGGGAACAATGAACAATGTTGCTTCTATTCATACTAAATGCTGGGGGATATTCTTGGTATATATTTACAGTTTCTGGATTATGATTATGACAGGTATTTCCTGTAATTCTCTAATTCATAACCTCCTATTTGTAAGACATAAGAATATGTTATCAATCCCAGCAGTTAAGTTAACTTGTAAAAGTAATGTGTATAAAAAGACTAGTTGTAATGCCGTTTATTTTGATAGTTGTGGGATCTTTTTATAACTGTTATAAAATATAGCTGCCAGATATATGAATTTATCTGCTTTCAAACCAGTGTAATGCAAGCTAGTTTGAGTGCAATTAATGTATTTATCATGTGGAAAGAATGTTTAATCCTTTGGCAAAGTCTTGGAGAACTGAGGTGCTTTGCAAAATGAAGTGCAGAATGAGCTGTCTCAGTATACAGTATTAGCTTAATATCTATAACTTGCGGTGGAGTCGCTCTTATTAAAGATACAGGAGAATAGTTTTTTTTTCATGTGCTGTGGTTTGGTTATGACAAAGGAGGTGGAGCTTTGGGTTTGTTTAGACAAATAGTACTGAAGTGCTGAACTCAACACCTTTTAACATTTTTCAGGGTCTGAGCCATTCTGAAACCTTGTCCCTTCTTTGTTGATGACTTTTGGCTTTGAAATTGTCTGCCTACTTAGATTAGACTAATATTCTGGCCAGAATATTGGAGGTGGAAAATCCACACTGTAAGAGAAAGACATAGAGGGAACTAGAATGTCATTCTACTTTGCAGTTGCAAATTGCAAACTCGAGAGGCTTTTATTTCCCAATGGTTTCCTGCTCCAAACAAAGCAGAGACCTAATATCAACACCTGTTTTTGTTTTCTCAAGAGTGCAAACTTCACCTTAATTAAACTTGAGTTGCTAATTTATTTAAAAATCTGCAGCCTAATTTAAAATGAGAAAAAAATTGCAGATCAGTCGTTAAACAGGAAGTAACGGTGAACATGTTGAAAGGGAAACTGGCAGTATAATTTCTGTCTTGCATAAAAGACAATTGTAACACTTGTACTGTACAAAGTATTATGGTCAAGATTTTGATTTTTTTTTTCAGTCATTAATTGCATATATTATGTAGAGAGCCTGGCAGAAGTATTCATACCCTTGAACAAATTGTACATTTTGTTGCTATAAAGTTCTCAGTCATGACACTTTGAAATATATATCGTTTTATATAAGACATACTCCATATATTTAAAGGAGAAAAAGAAAATCATATTGAAGCAAAATGGAAAAGTTTTAGCATAAGTATTCAAATTCTTTTCTGTTGGAAAAATTTAAATTGCAGAAAATTACCTTACACAATAGTTTGCGTGGCTTCTGTCAGCATGCCTTAATAGTAGTTCTCCATTTCAGAATAATAACTCTTTGGGTTCATGGTCAGGTAGTAAATTCCAAGCACAGAGGGAAATATGAAGAATTTGAAACCTTCAAAGCAAGTCAGGGATAATTTGGGAAATTTGCACTGCAATTTCCCTCACGGGATCAATAAAGTATCTATCTATAAAGTAATTGAAAAGCACAGATAAGGAGAAGGGTAAAAAAGTGTGAATTTCCTGTGAGCACAATCTGCTCAGTAAGGAAATGGAAAGTGCATCTAACCACCCAGACACTGCCAAGGAAACTGGGAAGGAATACTTTGATGTTAATAATATATTAGAAAGAGCTAAAGAGTTCAGTAGCAGAGATGGGAGCAAATATGTATCAGTCAGCAGTAAAACTAGCCTGTATGGCATGGTGGCAAGAAGGAAGACAACTAAAAACAAGCCATCTTAAAGCCTGCATAACGTTTTCAACAAAGCGTTTTGAACACCCTATGAGACCGAATTTGGACTTTTTGGTCTAAATGTAAAATGTTTGGCGCAGACCTAACTGTGCCAGACTGTACATCTCCCTGTCAACATCACCCCTGCAGCTGGCAGTGCTAGCAGCATCCTGCTATGTTGATGTTTCTCAGCGGGGACTGGAGATCTCTTCTGGACGGAAGTATAAATGGAAAGAACAATGTATAGACAGATACTAGTGAAAAACCTTTTTCATTCTTCTAAAGACTGTAAATTCACCTTTCAGCAGGACAGTGATTTAAAGCTACACTGGAGAGGCTTAAAAATCAGAAAGTTTTGTATGGCACTGTCCTGACTTATATCGTTGAGAATCTGTGGAAAGACTTGAAGCAAATGTTTATGGGTTATCCCCAAAAACCTAAAAAAAATTGCACCAGCCGTGCTGTCTGTGATGCTTCTACCCAATATTGAGTTCATGGGTATGAATACTTACTCATTCAATATATTTAACTTCCTAATACATACTTTGGTTATCTTAAGAAGACATCAGTCTGAGCATTCTGGTTTTGTATAAAAAATGTAGGCATCAATTTGTAAACTCACAAATTGGGACAGCATAGAAATGGTCAGAGTACATTTGAAAGACACTATATAAATGAAAATGGAATTAATATACAACCATAAAATTAATAACTTGCACCTTCATAAAATAAGAAGTCATTGTGTTTTATCCAGTCTTGAAGTCTTTTGGAATTCCCTTTGGAGTTTCTAAAATGTTTGCTAATCCTCCTAGTTTGGCATTTCTTATAAATCTGACTATCTTACTAAGTACTGACAGTTTCTAGATTATTGATAGACATTATCATAGACATTGTTATACAAGAACAATAGTGATAACTGAAGTACATTATCCTAGTTTGAATATTCATCTCTCATCTGTAGCATTTTTTTATCCTTTAACTGCAGCTCAATTTGTAGACATGCACTTCCTAGAAATCCCACGATCTGGAATTTAAGAATTAGTCATTATTGCAAAATGTTATCATAAATTTCTTTTGGAATTCTTACTACACATTTTCTATATTCATGATGAATATCCTCCATCTAAAATCTTATCTCCATACATCATCCTCTTACAGTTTACTTCTAATTATCCTTTCCATAACCCTACATGTAGTAGAAATAAGATAAGACCTATTGATCTGTAATGAAATGATTAATTTTGTATCACTTTTTGTGTACGAGAATAACATTTCCCGCAGTTTCAAAGTCAGGAGGTGTTACTCCTGTTTTGAGGAATAGAACAATTTTCCTACCTGCCTATGAATAACATTTCTTCTTTCCTTAAGTTGGTAAAACACCATCAGACCCTGGAGATATCTCTTAGTGTTTCTAGTACCTGTAGCATTTCTGCCCATTTTTGTGGTAATAATATTTAATAAAAGTTTGTCCTTTCTCACCCTGAAGCATGTTTTTTTTTCACTTGGTAAACATTCAAGTGAAAACAGACATTTCCATTTCACTGTGTAAATGTTTCTTCTTCTTACTCCTGAGATACTTCATCTTTTGCTGTTGAAATACTAAATCAAAATCTTATTTTAGCTCCTATTGCAATTTTCTCTTCTGTTTTTTTTTTAACTTTCCAACTTTCCAAAGAAGAGTCCACCAGCAACCAAAATAAGTGCTCATTGCTTACTCTGAAATGTGATCTTTCAGGGCCTTATCTTCGTAGTAGACAGCAATGACAGAGAGAGAGTGACAGAGTCTGCAGAGGAGCTTCAGAAGATGGTATGTATTTGTGTAGCAAAGGGTATTAATAGCTCTTAACCTGCCATCCACCTTTGCTTAAAAAATGTTTTTGTTCTAGAACAGAAATTGAACAATTTGTTCCTGTTCTCTGCACTGTAGCAAGACCCAATATTTTGTCTCTCATATCACCTTCAATCACTTTCAGAATGGAAACTTGGGAAACCATCGAGGACTTCATTATTATCACAAGGGTGGAGCATGAAGAAGTTATTGCAGAGAGCTAGATTCCACTTAGCTTTTTATTTCACATGTCCATTGATACAGTAACTGTGTCCACCTAGAGTAGAGCTTGAGAATTATAAGTGTTTCTCTACAGCCGTCATCGAGGGGAAATGACTTGTTTTTCAGAACTGACTGACCTTTCTTTCCAGCTGCAAGAGGATGAGCTCCGAGACGCCGTTCTACTGGTGTTTGCAAACAAGCAGGATTTACCAAATGCCATGATAGTGAGCGACCTGACAGACAAGCTTGGCTTACAGAACCTCCGCAACAGAACTGTACGTAGACACTCGGTGCACTATTTAAACCTTACCCTTAGTCGTAGAATTCTGTTTTGACAAGACACGTACCAGACCTTTAGAACTGTCAGCTTACATCCTCTGGTGGGTTCAGGCTACTTTATGTCTATAACACTGATCTGCCTATAGAACAATGTATTTTTCTCTTGGAATGTAATTAATTCAAATGCCGCTCTAGAATTGTCCACCCCAGGTTACAATGCTAGATAATCATTTTGCATTATTTGCAAGAGTGTCATTTTTAATTTGAAAACTTCTTTCTGCTTTTATAAAAACCTATATTTAATGGTGGTACTGGACTATATTGGAAATCAGTTGCGTGATACAGCCATGTCAAATGTGAATTGACCAGTAATGTATATATCGTGTGCCACTTTGACTAGCAAATTTTAATTTTTCAGTGACAACTCAATAAAACAGACAGGATAAGTATATTTAATCAAAGGAAAAATTCAATTTCAGCAGAGGATGAGGTATGTCACACGCAGGAGTCTAATGAGTACCGAGTGCTGCTACAAATATTTTTTGTATGCAGTTTAGTCCTTGCTCACTGTTAAGTCAGAAAACCATTCGTCATTGGAATAAAAATAAAACCACTGTAAGCAGGTGAGAAACATACTTAATCTACAGCACACTATACAGCCCAAATTACTCCTGGTTGTACACTCTGCAAAAATAACGTGTTTTTTTTTTACAAAAAAAGCTGTACAAAACATCAGTAGTAGTCAGTTCTGTTTTGGGAGTTGTAGAACAAACATGAGCTACAAGGTGAGCTTGCTTTACAATAAATGTCTTACAGAGTTATAGCCTTTTATGGTAACGTTTTTGCTTTCTTTCCCCTTGTTCTGCAGTGGTATGTCCAGGCCACCTGTGCCACACAAGGCACTGGTTTATACGAAGGACTCGACTGGTTATCCAATGAATTGTCGAAGCGCTAAAGAGGCAAAAGAAGCAAGAACTGAAGCGAACAAGAGAGAAAGTGTGCGCGAGAGCGTGAAATGATATTTTACAGAGAAATTTGTCTAAATTATCAGTGTGTCTGTCTGGTAGAACTTGAAGTTATGGACTTTGCAATCAGTTCCTGTTGTAAACTCTTTTTTTCTTTTATCTTGTTATTCCCAATGTTAATTAGTCTTGTTTTTTGTTTTTTTTTACCCTAGCCTCTTCTCTGAAAAGTTTAAGTTGCATGTTTTTAAATGACAAAAAAAGCAATTTCCAGACCGTTTGAGAAAGTTGGTACAGCAGAAAGTAGAGTGGACAATAGGCGAGACTGGGTGAGACAGTGCTACATCCTGTCTTGCGTCTCTGGAGTGCAACACTTCTGACACATGCCACAAAAGTAATATGTTTATCATTTCAGCTTAATGGCCTTCCTTGTGACAGCACTCCCCTGCAGTTCTGTTGAATTTCAGCAGAAATCAATTGGCCAGAGTTGGGTGTTCATGCAGTAAAGGGAGGTCACAGGAATCAAAATAAAATAAGACAGGCCCACTGCTAAAGTAATTTCACAGGCCATTTATTTCCATCAATACAAGTTGCATTTCCCTATTACCCAGTTATGTTTTGTATCCTTTATGATCTAATGGAGAAAGATTGATCAGCCTTATTCAGGACTACACTTGCAAAGGAATACATCTTTACTTCCCCCACCCCCCCTTCTCTCATTTTAAACTGTATCTTCAGTGCCGGTACATGATGTTGCATTATTGAGTTTTGTACAGTGCTTTGATAATTGCAGCTTTTGCTCGTGGTGCAAGAAGGAAAACGGGCACAGAGCTTGCAGGCTAGTGCTGTGGGTCCTATTGTAATTTTACCCTCTGTTTCTGAAAAAGTACCTTTCCACGGTGCCCTATTCCTAAACACGCATGAAGCAAACAGAGTACAAACCATAGTGATTCCTTTTGTTGTACAAAAAAAAGACCATAAACAAAAAATAACCTTGGTTACAGACCTTTAGCATAAACCACCACAGCAAGGCTATTGATCAGAGATGACCATTACAATGTTCCTTTTTGAATGTTAGCTCAACATGTCCATGTTTTTGGTTTTGTTTTTTTAAAGGTGCAAGTTATTAAAAAGTGGGAAAATTGTACTGTGCATGATTCTTTTTTTACATTTACGTTTAGTGTTGCTTGAAAAGGTTATGGTGTATAGTTGTCTGAAGGTCAGGGAAGACATGTAGTGAGTGCTCTGAACCAGGAGAACCAATACAAATTTGTGCTGATTGCCTAATAAATATTTCATTATGTATTTTTACATCAGCTCATTAAAAGGTAGTCCAGTACTAGCCTTGTCTCCAATTATACATTAAAACTAGGATGTACTTAACTTAACTGAGTTCAGTGATCAATAAAACTTTAACAGAACTGGGTGTAAAAAGTCACCTTTAGACAATGTCTTGACTATGCAGGAACTATGTTTTTATACATCCTTTTCATGAACACATTCAAGTTAAACTATTTGCCACAAACATTTGTTTTCTTTTCTTTGTAGTCATTGCCCTTTAGGTGAATATTCAGACTAAATTATGAAAATGAGAGACTGCGTTTCTTACACTCTGAACCGAGTAAGCCTTATGATTTTCTTAGGTGTCCTGCCAAGCTGATTAAAATGTCACCTACTTATGAATTGTGTAAACTTGTTTCCGTTAACCACACTTTGCAACTTAATTTCCTGTCATGCTGTTAGGAGCTTTGTGTTGTGCATTTTTTTTCTTCCTGTTTGGTTTGTTTAAAAAAACTGTGATATAAACAGATGGTTGATAATACTGTACACCGTTGTAGATCATTAAAATATCTGGTCAGCTATCGGTACATCTGAAATGCTCCTCTCTGTAGTAGCTTTTAGTAAGGTGCACCACTGCTAAAATGAAGTATGCAGTTACTGATGGCTGGTTAGTGATTAACCAGGCTCTAAAAGATGATTGAGAATCTGTGGGCTCAAATGAACCCTTTACAGAGTGCAACTTCAGCTGTTTGATTTCACAAAATTGAGATTATTACAATAATTTTCAATGCTGTTCAAACACCATCCACTAATAACGAAAAATACGATGAATAGAACAAAAAAACATTAGGAAAGGAAATAATATACAATATAAAGTTCGAGATACAAAGAAATCTCCAATCTTCCAATGCCTTCTAGCTCTTCTAGCGACAATTCTGTTACCTCTGCTGGTAGTTATTCTACAGCAGCCGACCACTGTTTAAGGAAAGATCTGTCATTCCCCTTCTGAACTGTATTAAGCCTTTCAAGTGGAAGTACTTAAAAAATGTCTTTGTACCAAACTGTAATAGAAGGTGTTTTTTCCCTTAATCTAGTTGATTAAAATACGGTACATTTCCTTGCTAAATAGAAATACACTTCATGCCTTGCACTTGTGGTCATTCAGTAAAATGAACATTTTCGTAATTTAGTCCTTGACGGCACCTTGGAAGAAATACTGAGGTGGAGGACAGTGTTGAATAATTTGTGTCCATGCATGTTTTGCTTTTGGAAATAAAATGGGACATATCATCTTCAAGACTAGCAAAGCTGTCCAGCCTATCGCTGCCATACAGACCGCACTTATTTGAGGAGTCTAATAGGATTTTGTTTAGGCTTAAAGGAAATTCCCTCCAGATGTTAACACCTACTGTATCTGTAGGGCGTTAAAAAGAAGTTCAAGTATTTATGTTTTCAAGAAAATCTCCACAACTTGATGAATTTCTGTGGTTATGTAAGATATTGGAGTATTCTTTGATGTGAACCCAGAGGGCTAAAACTGGCTCTCAAGATGAAGGAGTCAGAGCCTCATATGCAGAAAATCAAGGTACTGTTGCTAATAGGGCTGACAGAGGAGTGCACAGCAAAGGTTGCTGGGAAGGAAGGAATCATTATTTTTGCAGGAAGTGAGCTGGGAGTTGTCATCTTCACTGAACTTTTTTGAACTATGTTCCTTGTGAATTAATGTTTCTCTGCGTAGGAGTTGACCAAACACAGGTGCTATTCTTATAATTGCAATTAAGGAAAGGTCTGTCAGTCTCTGTCTCTTTGATTACTCTTTAAGTACTCATGGTTAATATTTTAAGTTTAAGTTCAATTTGTAGATTGAGGCTGTCTGCCTGAAACTCTTCCAATTCTTAACATACATACCTTACATTTAGTCAGTGTTGTTGTTTTTCCATTTTAAGCCTGCTTAAAATGTGAACTACTTCGTCAGAGAAACAAACGTCAGCTTTCACCACCTGGAAATATCAATTCTTAAGTCTCACAGATAATTATTTTGCATCAGTTTTGGATGAAAGAAATACAGGCTGCCAGTGAGGTTGCTATTTAAGGTGGTGGCCCAGCTGATTATAATAAGCTGCTTTCGTTTGTAAGTTCTTAATGGGATGTTTTCCTGTGTTTAAACACTAGGCGTTCCAAGCTGTTTGCATGGTTTGAATCACATTTCTGAGCTCTGCAGTAAACATTTCCAGGATTCTGATCTTCTGCTCCAA